TTCCTCAGGTTTTTTTTGTAGTCTCTTAACTGTCTCTCGGTGTTTCTCAAATGTCTGTCTTCTTCCTGTGCCACCCACTATTCTGCTGGGAGCAGAGAGAGTGCCAGTGAGTTCATTCTTCCAGAGCAGCCTAATTTTTTTTCCTTGGGAGAGAGATCTCCTTTGCTTTGATCTGTGAACTCTTATCTGTTTTCTCATCTGTTCACTTGAATTACTGTTCTGTCCACTACCTAGCTGTCTTGAGGATGGTGGAAGAAAAGTGCTAGAATGTTTCCTACATTAATGATTTTTGCTTACACTTCAATATTTACTGTATCTGAAGGAAAATTAGCATTTAGTGGAATATAAGTTACAGAAAGCAGTAGTGTTTGAGTACCTGTCATTGTTTTTGTTTTAAATATGGGATGCATTGTGAAACTGTGAAAATAGGAAGCCTGTTACTTGCAATCAATGTTCAACTCAGAAACAAATGGTACTACTAGTAATTTTAGTTCATATTGGTCCTATTTTTTTAGTCAGCCTATAAATACAACTGAATTTCTTGACACAGATACTTGATCCTTCAGCATTCATTTCAGGCAACCTGATTGAAAGAACCAATAACTATCATAAAACGCAGCTATAATGTTCAAAATTATGATACTCTACATTTTATAGCAACATGATTAGTTGCTTTATTTATTTTGTATGCATTTAGTGTAAAAAGAAGGAGTATGGCACCAACTGCAATGTTTTATGCAGCCCCCTCCAAAGTGCAGGCAATTGCCTAAAACTGCTTAAGAATTTACTGCTGCTCTGCCAGAAGCTACTACCCTTACAGTTGGCAGGATGTAACTTTTGCTCATACTTGTTGATGACTTCCTATTTAAAATGCTCATGTAGCTGAGTGCAAGATAATGTCCCAGATTTACCTCCAGGCACCAGGAGGTTTGCTCTGTAGGGCCATCTGTGCAAGGAAAGTCAAAGGGGGCAGTAGGCAGGTGGTAGCAAACAACAGCTGTATCAGTTTGAAAAGCAAGTGTGGTCTTAGGCAATACAGCTTTGCCCTTTCATTTCACTTAGTATAAAAATCGCTGATGCAAAGTTTCAGCTTTATCAGTAGAACAAAAGCATAGTGCTTCCTTACTCTTGCCAAGATTCAAAATTATTCAGTTCCCTGATTGCCACTTCAGTTTCTCCCAAAAGGGGTTCTGGGAAGGCCAAAGCTTTTGGACCACGGGGCTTCTTTTTATGCTACACTTAACATGACTACCACCTGTCAGCAGCTGGCATATGGTTCAGATCCAGTGCATGGCTCACACATCGCAAAAGCAGAGGGATTACAGTATATCATATCTTTTGTTACAAGTACCGTCTCACTAGAGTACTTCAAAAGAGCCTGATCTGTTTGCTGACCTGAGAATATCACTAGGCCACAAGAGTATCATTGTACCTTTGAAATCCTGTGCTGTCTCTGAAACTCTTAAATTAATTTGTGTATTTCAGTGTAACATTTCAAGACATTCAATTTTTGGAATACAGAAGAGAGCCAGCTACTGAGTGTTCTTTAGTAATGTGAGAGGGAAGAAATGCAGGGCAGCTTCTCCCCCATTACATGGGGTAAGACCATGGTCAACTTGTAGGATGCTGTCATCTGGTCAGGGTAAAAATCAACCTCTTCAGCAATAAATCCTTGCAAAGATCGCTTGTTCATTTCTGTTAAGATGATGAGCATCTTAACAGAAATCTTGTGATTGTGTCTTCTATTTAGGAGGAACAATAACTTGCACAACTAAGTACTTCAAACCCAGAGTTATCAGTTTGGGAAAGCTATTTTATTTTACAACTTTTTAGCAAAAAAACTAAGCTGCAAAATTGAGGTTTTGATTTCTTTTGAGTTTTGCTTTGTAGAACAGACTACCTCTCATCCTTTAAATTTTGAAGAAAAGTGGACTTTAAAATTGAGTGTCTCTCTTATATAAAATGAGCTGTCAGCAATCAGTGATAAGCACAAGTTAGTTGGTTCCTGAAGACCAGAGACACAGAGATGAAGTTACTGCTTTCAGCACAGTGACTGAAGAAACATGACTGGGCAGCCAGCTCCTCACCAAACCCAGGAGCATGCAGAAGGGAAGAGAGCTATAAATTGAACAAGGAAAAGTCTTATGAAACTTGTATTTGTGGAACTACGCCCTAACTCTGCACTTGGAAAATTATGCAAAGGCAAACTTCAGTTAGAGGAGCTTGAGTAAGATTAATTTAAATTCAAATGCTTAATATAGAAATAATTATTAAATGCTTCCTATGTTCCTTTAAAAAATAATTGCTTTTGAAGAACAGTATTCACTGTGATTCACCATTCATATAGGTGCAGAACAGGTCTACCTGGGAAGATGAGTGACTTGCTAAAATAAGGTTAAGTTCACAGAAAGAAAATATTTCTTAAAATCTCCACTGCAGTCTGTGTTTATTTTGCTTTACCTCTGAGATGCTGCATCTAAAATTGATTCTGGGAATATCAAAAAGTTTCTTAATATTGGCTTATTTTTAATCACAGCTGGGAGTGTCTTAGTGGAAAGTTATGAATAAGAATCAGAGAGTATGACTTCTTTCAGCTCTTGGGGAGAAGTAAATATTGCTTAGTCTGAATCTACTGCTTCTATTTTGCAAACTACTTGGGGCACTGCATGGCCTGACTCAAGAATTAGAGATGCATTTAATTTTAATTCCTCTTAGTTGTATCCTGCAGGTTATGTCCTGTGCTATAGTATTCTTGGAAAACCCGAGTTGATGAAAGGGCTAAGTGTGACTACACTTCTACTTACACTCCTATAACACACTTTAAAACCATGCACCGAGGAATGACTCCATCTCTTAGGCCTGTACTTTATTCATACTAGGACAGAGGGATTTGATATGTGTACTCATCTTTAATAAGTTGAGAAGAATGACAAATGCAAAAAGCATGTTAGCCAAAATAAATTACTTCAGTCCCTCCACTGTGAGACAATGTTTTTATAATTAAACTACAAATATGCAACCATGAGTCACTCTGATGGTACATTATGTTATTCTGAATTGTAGAGATGACTAAAAAAACAAGTTTAGGTGTTAGTAGTGTGGACAGGGTTATAAACTACCTAAGTTTCTTATAATGGAAACAACTCCTTAAGTATTTATGAAGCACATATGTCAAGAATCAGTTGTGATGAAAAATCTCAATTTTTGTTTTTAGGAATTTCGTAAAGCATTCAAGCAGATCATGTATGGTCTTATAGCTTTGATTTTTTTCTGGTTTGTTTAATAGTACTATATTGTAATCTGCAGTAACTTAGCTGGTTCTCCCTCCCTTGCTTTATGTATGGAGATTTGCACTAAAATTCTTTGAAAACTGTTTAGTTCAGAATGTCTTACATGTTGCAAGAGACCAATAAAGCAGTGCTTCATTGGCCACAAAACTTTCCTTTTGAAACTTGCTCGTTTTCCTGGATTTTCTGTCACAAAGACTGTTGACAAAGACATGCTATAGAGATTGATATGCTTAGATTCAGATCAGTATAGTTCTTAACTTGTCCTATCGAAGTCAAAGACATTTTTGAAATTGATCACATAGAATCTAAAGGTTAAGTGTGGTTTTTGCCTAGATACACGAGTTGGCCCTGAAAAAATAATTTACCACATCTCTGGGCAGCCTGTTCTGGTATTTCACCACCCTTGTCTTAAAAAATGTCTTTCTTATCCCATCTGAATATGTGCTCTTTTGGTTTAAAACCTTTACCCTTTGTCCTGTAACTACAGGCCCTTCTAAAGGGTCTGTCACCATCAGTCCTAGTAAGTCTTGTTGTGTACTGCAGTAAGATCTCCTGAGAGCCTTCTCTTATCCAGGCTGAATGGTCCCATCTCTCAGCTTGTCCTCACAGAAGTGCTGCTCCGTCCTTCTGGTCATCTTTGTGGCCTCCTCTGGACTCCCTCCAGCAGGTCCATGTCCTTCCTGTGCTGTGACCCCAGAGCTGCTGCAGCCCTGCAGGTGGGGTCTCAGCAGAGCAGAGCAGAGGGGCAGAATCCCCTCCCTGGCCCTGCTGCCCACACTGCTCTGGATGCAGCCCAGGACACGTGTGGCTTTCTGGGCTGAGTGCCCATGGCTGGGTCATGTCCAGCCTCTCAGCCACCAGTGCCTGTAAGTTCCTCTTGGCCGAGCTGCTTCAATCCCTTCTTCTTCCACCGTGTGTTGTTATCAGCAGTTGCCCAGGTGTAGGGTCTAGTACCTGGCCTTGTTGAAGCTCCTGCAGTTCACGTGCACCACTTTTCCGTTATGTAACGTTGATGTTTTCAGGTTACTGGAAATTTGCTGAAATTAGGAAACATCTAATAGGGGGGAAACTTCTAATGAACAGTAGGAAAAACATTGAATTGAACAAGGCATTTGTTTAGTCTCGTATTCTGAGAATTAAAAAGCATGATCTGAACCAAGTTAATGTGAAGCAGCAGGACATGAAGCATTCCCCTTTTGATCTTCTGTGTACCTGCTTCAAGCATTTTCCATGTAATCTCTTCCCCACTTTTGTAAAACCCTCCACCCTGGTGAAAGGTGTCTAAAGTGACTAATGGGAAAATTTGAGAAACACTCCCTGTTCCTGGGAAAAATTTGCCATACATTTTAGAAGATATGCTAAATAGAAAAAAACAAGAAAACAGAGGTTAGTATGTGAAATAAAATCCAGAGGAAAACTATCTGTATTTATCTGTATTTTTCAAAAGGAGGCTTTACAAAATTATCACCTTATAAGGGTCTTCTAAGAAATTAAAAAAAAAAAAAAAAAAACAAGAGAGAAGAAAAAAGACCAAAGGAATTTCTAGGAATGGCTCCAGTCTGTGTTCCCCTCTCCTTGAAACCCAGGTCAGTTCTTTCTTGCTATGACCAAAAATAAATCAGAAATCTTACCATGCATACTATAATTGCAAATTAATTACAAATTGTATTTTCCATTCTTTCACTGAGTTGGAGTTTGGTTTTTTTGCAGGATGTCGCATGTGCTTCAGTTTGAAGACAGAAGCAGAAAGGTGAAAGATGCAAGCATGCAGGATGAAGATACTTTTGAGATCTATGATCCACGGAATCCTGTAACTAAGAGGAGAAGAGAAGAAAGCAAGAAGATAATGAGAGAAAAAAAAGAAAGGAGATAAAAGGAGTGTAAAGTTAGCCAGAGCTGCCTTGGAAAGTGACTGCAATAAAGCACTGGCTCTTTTGTAAGCTGATCCTAAAAATACCACTGGACAAGTGTGAAAAGGAATCTCTCGAGAACCTGTCGTGCAGTTTTGAGGCAGAGATGTCATTTGTTTCTTAAGCTGTGCAGTCAAATGCTCTCACTGCATTCATTATCCAACCTCTCTAAAGGTTTTTAGAATGATGTATTTAATAAAACAGCTGACTTGACTTTTGTCCGTGTTTTAATTACAGTAGTCAAAATCTTTGATTAATCAAAATATGATAATCAAAAAGTTTTCAACATAATGAATGGGAATTTGTCTAAGTGAGGGTCAGGTTAGAAGACAGAAACCCTGTCTGCAGTCTTTTAAGATTTTATGTTAATTATTTTCATTGTTCTTTAAAAGACATGTAAATTTTGCCTGCCTGAACCACTCTGATACAGAATTTAGAAGATGCAGTACTTTTGAGAATGGTCCCAGCTTTCTTGAAACAAGCGAAGTTTAATTTGAGAATCTGGCTATTGTCTTCTTCTTTTGAAATACACATTCCAGTACAGATCTCATCTTGGGAAGCTGGGATAATGCATTTTAGATGTGTTATTTCACTATCCATACCACATTAATAAAAAAAGATAATCTGAATATGCTGTAATGGTTGATTAAACCACTTGTTGCAATACCAGAAAGATCCCTTTGGTAGAATTTTCACTGTAAAGTGGTGGGTAATGTTAATTAGTGGCAAGTTTGTGAATTAGTGCAATACAGAAACAAAAGGAAATATGATCAGTCTCATTAAAAATATAACCCTGCTTTAAACAATTATTCTGTCATCTCAAATTGAACTCAATTGAGCTCAAGCCTCCAGTTTATAGATTTTCCTCATATTTTACAACTCTGGATGTTAATATTTTTACAGATAAACATGAATTTTCATTGCTCCTTTAGAGCAGTTCTGGTGCCACAGGAACATGAATTGTCCAAATAGCCAACAGCTAAAGAGGAGTGAACAAGGTCATTAAAAAGTGCCACCAGAGCAGTGTTTTGCTGATGTTGTTTTTAGAACAAGTTCAGTAAGGTATGGTGTCCTTATCAAGCTGCCACTGCCAAATTTCTTGATAGGGTTTGAGGTGTGAGATACATAAACCTGCATTGGTGGGTTAATATGTCCCAAATATCAGAGGTTAGATTAATACAGATTATTGCTTAAATGCACAGTGCAACCTTTGAGATAAGGAGAAAACTTGGAGGTGTGAAGTGAGATCCTGTATAAAGCTGTCATTATCCTCCTCTTAGGCTGAGTGAATTATACTGTGCCATGGTGTAAAGAAGTTAAGAGGGGTTACATTCCTTAACATGGCCATTCACAAACTAGTGAGTCAATTGTTTTTAATCATTAAGTAATTTCTGTCAGGCTGCTGCTGGCAAAGTGAAGAACATCTAATGTCACATGCTGTTACCTCTATTCATTGCTTTGTTTGTGGAGAAAATTTTAAATCAGTCATTACAGGAAATGAGCATATCAAACCCCCATTCTGGTGGAGATGGAAAGGAGGAAAAGGTGATGAACATGGGGAAAAGTGAGGGCTAGATCTGAAAAGAACCTTGAGAATCAATTCCAGGACAGTTACTGCCCCTGGAATAAAAAAAAAAAATGTTCAAATTATGTATTTTTCCTGCAAGCTAAAGTAGGATGTATGAGTCAATATATGGACAAGTTGACTAACACTCTTCGTAGCTGAATATTTTTGCCGACTACCTGCATCAGCTCTGAGTAAGCTGTACTAGATGATTCCCAGTTTAAAGCACTAGAGAAGCCCAAAAAGGAATCTTAACTTGAGGTTTAGGACTCTGCTCAGTTGGAAGAGATTTGAAAAGTCTGGACCTTGCACACAGGACTGGTAACCTGACAAGAACAAGAGAGTAACTATGTTGACAATGTTGACATTTTCTTGTTAAGTGTGCATTCAAAGTCAGATTATCACAACTAGTCAAGGGAGAGTTGATGAAGTTGACTATAAATGGGCTAAGGTGTCTAAATTTTATTCATTTCACTGAAGCAAAAGTCATTCTGTATTTCATTTAGGAGACACTTGGAGCAAAGTTAAGAAAAGCTTATATCAGAAGTACATTCTCAGGTAAAGTCAACACCAAGGAGTAAGAACCTCACAGAAGGAAGTTTAAATGATGACACTTGTCTGAAACAAGTAGTTTGCAGTGTCACAGGTAACTCCCATTCTGCCAGTAACAATCCTGCCAGTTTCCCATACTGCCAGGTTAACAATCATTTTAACTCAAACCTATTTCATTCACCATCTGGCTTTGCTGTAATTACATAAAATGTTGACTGGTAAAGCATGACAGTGTTCTTTTTATAGACTGTGAAATGTGTGTGCTCAGTGTTACACCTTTTATTTGTCAATTCTGAAAATCAAGTGGGTGATACAATGTGGGCAGGTGCCCCCCTCTCTGTGAAAGAGTCATATTGAGCTAGATTAGTGGCTGAAAACTGAAGGAACAGTTGGTTTTGTGGCTGAAGAATTTGTTCTATGGTAATGAGATTTTTGAATTATTATATTTTCTTAAATCTTAAGCATCTCCCATGTTCCACCCTTATGGCCACCATCTCACCTGTCTGTATAAACATGAGCATAATCTCTACATAGTTTAACAGACAGCTAGGTACATATGTCTATGCACCAGTAAAAAAATAGTGTCTTAACAGCTGCATGTAAAGCTTTACTTCCTAAAAATGCTAGTTATGAGCACATTACCCAGCTTGAAGATGCAAACCACAGTACTCATATGTAATAATTTCTGTACAAGTCAGGGTTTAAAATTGCTGGATATGCTCTACTTCCCCACCATCACCACCTGCATTTTTGAATACTCATTACATCAAGCTAAAAATCTTATAAACCCAGATTATGACTGAATTTTGAGTTAGATCTACCAAAGGTCTACCAATATTTAGTGGCAGCTAACCTGCAATTTCAATGTTGGTAGCTTTGCTACCAACACAGTGAGCTAGTGTTGGCAAATGTTCTGTGAGACAGTCCCTCCAGTCATACCTGCCTTTCTTTTAATATAAACATTGATGGAGCCTTTCATTTTGCAAGAGGGAATGTGATTCGTAGCTGAAAATAAGGGGTGGGGGGAAAAGGTTTTCATCCTTGCAGATACCATTATGTTGGTAAAGTCAACATTTTCATTTCCAAACCAGCTGGATTTTGAGTAGATAAGATCCTTCTAGGCCACATCTGGTAATAGCAAGATCCTCAAGAAGAGCTTAAAGGCTTGCCTCAAATGCTGTCAGTGATGCCAGCGAGTAATACAATGTGCCCTTTTTGCTTTGGAGCTGAAAAAACCCTGAGGTACAACAGAGCCTGGTTTATTTCTGTCAAATAGCCACTATGCCTAGGCTGCTAGGGGTGTAATCTGCAATGCCACATTATGTAGCTTTCCCTTAGCTGCTGGCTTCCAGCATGGGCAGGTCTGGGAAGAGGTTTATTCCATCCTGTCTCCTTTCCCCAGCAGAAGAGTGTCTGAACTATAACGGTTAAAATAACCACACAGCGATGTTGTCTGCTTTCGTCTAGAGGACATCAAGTTTGCAAAAGACACAATTATGTTTTGGCAACAAAAAACCTAGCTTCAGACAGAAAGCATAGCTCCAGACTCTGCCTCATTCTGGCAGAGACATGTGCATCTGTCATTACTTAAATGATGACAGATTTGGGCTGTTAGAAGATGAGGGGACTCCTTACCTGTGTGTTCTCAGTAAAAGATGTAGGGATTTGCTTACATCTTTCACTGTAACAAAGAATGAGCTGATCATATAGTGGCTATATTTATAAAGTTCCTGATGACGTACACACAGCACAGAGAATGTAAACTGAAAAGTTTTTGAATGCATCTGATCATCCCTTGATAGCACATTCCTGCTCTACTAGTAAAGCAAGTACCAGCAGTTTGCTGCTTCCCAATTGAGCGCCATAAAGTGATTCCCTTCAGTTATCCTGGGCAGATGTGCCATATTCCAGCTTGATAGTCACAAATTCCTCATGCAAACTGACAGACACCTTGTGCCCACACACACTCTGATGGATACATTCTGGTCTCCAAGGCACCCAGGGCAGGTGCCATACAGCCTGTCAGAGGCCCTGTATACCTCAGCTACTGTCCCAACAAAATATTCCTCTGAATTAATTTTCACAGTACTTTTTCCTGGCAGGATTTCACTTCCTCTTCGGTATCCATCACAGATGGGGTTTTCCATTTGATTTTTCACTTCTTTTGGTGTTTTAAGAGCCTGCTCACACAGCACAAGTTTCATTTGTAAGTCACAGATTAGAAGAGCATGTTTAAAAAGCTACTGCACACTTGGGCAGGTCTTTCTTACACATCTCACACAGGCACATAAGAATTGGTTTCTGCCTCCACAGGCTTCATCACCACTTCTCTCATCATCGTGCCTTCCCTGTCAGCCTCTATTACCAAGGGCCAGACAAAGAATTTACGCCCTCCTCCTCCTCAACCTTTCAATTGTTTTTGCATTTGTTGCTAGCCTCTGCCCTACTGTCTTCTCCAGCTCTCTTTATGTCTCCTGGCTTCCCAGTAGTGAGCTGAAGAATCTGGTAACCACCAGATAAGTCACACACAAAAGCTGAAGCTGCACTTTATTATGTGCCTGTGTAGATTCTGTACAGAATACAAATGCAAAAAACATGAAGCCAAAGCTTCAGAGAGCAGGCTTGAAATTTATATTTAAACTATTTTTATGTTTTTAACACTTCCTCTGTATATATTTTCTTTTTAAAATTATTATTCCTGAAACACATACCAAAATAGCATTGTACCCGATCTGGCCACAGAATGAGGATCTGCTGATTGTAACCTACAATTGTCTGGTACTGCTCCAAAGCAGAACAAAAGCCTGAAAGCTACTATTTTTGGAAAAAAAATCAAGGCCTTCTTTAAAGCACAAATTGGTTGGTACTAATAACCTTCTACTCTTAAAGCACTGTTTTAAAACAGCACAAGGACCCTGCCTTAACAACTCTAAATTTACAGACATGAAAGAGGACTACAGACAACAAGACAGCACCTTTTGGGGAAAAAAAACTAATCCTAAACCACAACATATCAGAAAAAAATTTACATTTTTAAGACTAATTCACCAAATCTAAATGAAAAAAAATACACTATAGGGAAGGTGGGTGGGAAATC